ATTTTCAATACAAGTCAATTGAGACACATTTAACTCGAACCCATTTAATGTAATATTTCTCTCCAAGATTTCATATTTGGATTTTGCCATTTTTCACCACCTTTTATATTCTTTTCAATTCTTCATTAAATATAAAGCTTTATCTACAAAATATAATATAACAAAAATTAGGTAGAAATAATCCAAAACACAATAAAATATCATAATTTGGGGCTCGAATAAGTATATAAACTATACTTATCACACCCACAAACTTGAATCTTTGTTTGTCCTCAAACAAAATTAAAACCCTAATAAACACACAAACACGCAATGTTAATTGCCTAATTGGTGGTCAGTCAATCAAGTAAAGTAACAAGATTTAGCTAGTTTACCTAACTTTTTATCTCGGGATTGAAATAATAATATCAAATCTATGCACAGCTTCAAAATCACAATATAGGAATTAAAATCCAATTTTCCAATGTAAAATCGACGCGCGTGTGTGTGTGTGAAGAGTTAAGCGTGTCATTATAAATTCATAAGTTGTTTCAATTCCCGACCCTCAATGATCAAATATATTCTTTCATCACTCGTAAGATTCATACACCTCCAAATTTATTCTTTTCGCTCATTTCTTGTGTAAACTAAGATTGAATTTTCTACTATCTTCACATCTCTAGTTTAGATAAATCTCACCAATTGCATTTCAATATGATAATAAACAAGGATTCTCCATTAAGTTTGATTGCTTTAATCTCTAAGACTTAACTAGGCTAACAATCTCTTATCAAAAGTTAAATTTTCTGAAACAGGTGTTTAGGACATAATCAAGGCATTTGGTCCGTCTTCTGTTTCATGCACCTTCTTTTTCTGATTTTTTTATATGAATATTTTTTTCTTTATTTAAACCATTCTCCCTTGAGCTTTCTAAATGACGCATGTAACAAGCTTTCGGTCGATAATTTCCAAGTCAAATGACTATAAGGCATGAGGTTTTAAAGATCCTTACATGTTTAATTGCTCGAGTCATAAAGTCTACGAATATAATTTTTCTAATAAAATATTTTTTATGTCTTGATTAGTGCAATGTCCCTCATTTAACATCAATTCAAGTAAAACGACCTCTAACTTGAGATTTTCATCAAATTGCATCCTATTAACTTTAGACAATCCACACAAAATTTTTAATTTCATAAATGGAATTCCTATTTATCTTAACATCTTCCTACNTAAAATGTTTAATTAAAGTTTAAGGACATTAATCAAAACACCCATAAAAAAAAGTACCGAACATATATTTCCAACAACAAATCCAACTTAATGGGCCAACCTCAAAGTGTATTGGTTGTTTCTAGGTCTAGTCAGTATTATGGTGTCGATAAATTATCCGACATCTGTTTTAAATTATCGTTCGGATTTAATGGGTATTCACTTCTTTAGACGAACATAATTTATTATAAGGGTAATTAGCACAAAATGTCCAC